CTTGGCCACCCCACTCCTGATACAAGCCAGGATGCCGCTGGCCCTCTTGGCCACCTGGGCACCCTGCTGGCTCCTAGCCAGCCCCCTGGCGACCAACCCCCCCAGGGCCTTTTCCGCTGGGCAGCTTTCCAGCCGCTCTGCCCCACGCCTGGAGCGCTGCCTGGGGTTGTGGTGACCAAATTGGGGAAAACCAGCTCATTTTAGAAGGATTTCCAGAAGTAGCAGCCGTTAGCCAATAACCACTGGCATTTTGCAAACTCAAAAAACAGCAGAGCGAACCGATCTAAACCTGGATGCTGTGGTCCCAAGTCTCCCCTCTTCCCACACCCCTTCCCACCTTCCCATCCTCTGCCTGTAGTGCTAATGTGGCAATGCAACAGGTTTGGGGAGCTGTGAAATTGGGATTTGGGGGGGGGGTGAAGGTGGGAGAGATTTGTTTTTCGCTCAAGCAGCTCCGTGAAGAGGTTCCTCAGGCTCTAGGCAAGGAGAGCTTGGGTTTCTCTTTCTGCCCTGAATCCGATGGGTGCTCGGGCTTGTTCAGTCCGTCCAAGGTCTGCAGTTCAGCGACGGCTGAGCATTCCCATCTTCCCTTTGCTAATCAACGTATTCATCTATTCTCACCCCATCCTTCATGAGCTCACTAAAGCAAATGAAACCTACTGGTTCCTAGTGAATTTTTAATTGCATTCTTGTTATTCTGTCGTGCACTTACCAGTCTGTTATGAAACGTTTTACTTCTGCTCCGAAAACACATGAGATGTGTCTGCAGTGCTCTGGGATTTCCGCAGGTGCTCAGGCTGAAGGAATCTCTCTCCCAGACAGATGTCCCGGGGGTGGACCACGTCTTTTTGTTCAGCGTTTGTGTCGTACTCAGCCCTGGTTTGAGCTTGGGCCTCCCCAGCATCACGCGAATAGTGAGGAGTAATCCTTTTGTCGCTCTTGTGTTTCACAGATGTCTCTGGCAGTCCCGTCAGCGTGGACGTTGGAAAGTGCCGGTCCAGCTGCCTGTCCCAGCAAATTGGCTCCCCCCAGCCCGGCCTCCTGGGGCTCTCCAGGCACTCCTCCATGCTCGATTTCCTTAGAAGCAAGAAGGTGAGAAAAGCGTGTTTGTGCCACCCCCATGGCGGGAGCGGTCGGATCTCGGTGACGATCACACACTGGTGCCCGGGGCTGTGATTTTATACAGGTTTTAAAGTACCAGGTTTTGGCTTCTGCATTGCTGAGCCTCTGGTCCCCCCTTAGGCAGCAAGCAGCGGATCATGCAGGCCAGGCAAAGGGAAATTATCCAGCAGTGCTGGGTACCTGGTGGCAGAGGAAGGGCCAGCGTGGAGCTGAGGGCTGTCACAGCACCTACCCAGCTGCTCCAGGCAGCACCCAAGTGTATTTCGGTCCTCCCCAGCCCAGCACCAAGCCCCACTCTCACACATCGTGTACGTGACAGCTACGTGCAGAGGGGTTGGAGGCCTTTTTCTGCCTGGTTGAGCAACACCGGCAGCACCCATGATTTCATGAGGAATATCTGGCCTTTGAGGTGCTTATGTCATTCCCTTATCACATGCCCTGTGTCACTCCTAGGAGGGACTAGAAGGAGCCTGTGCGTTTGGGGACACAGCTACACGCTGGCTGCGATGCTCCCCTTATCCCAGGAGAGCTGACATTGCCTCCAGTCCCACCTCCACCAGGATAACCAGCCCTGGCGAGGGGATGGAACTGAGCTCTGCAGGGTGCTGCGTCCTGTGAGGGCTCGCCTGGGGGGCTGTAGCTGTGAAAAATCTTGTTGCCACTTGTCCCACTGTTGTCACCACCACGGCACTGCTGGCGCAACCCCTTCCAGGCGGGCAGGTCCACATTCGTTCCCCAGAGCTGTTGTCACGCTGACCCTCCGGATCAGGAGTCTGGGGTGAAACAAGGACTGGTTTAGCCAGTACGGTTCAGCCGATCGTAGCAGGGGCTTGTGAAATCAATGGCTTGGGTGTCAATGTGCCACTGGGAAGGGCAGCACCTCAGCAACGCGGTGCCGCCGTGTGGGGAGAAAGGAGTAAAAGCTGAGTCAGCTCTAGGTCAGAAGAGGCTTTTATCAGGGAGCGATGCTGGAAGTTCTTCTCCGTGACATGGTTTTACCAGTGTATAAGCCACTTGCCCTGTTCTGTGCAGCTGCAGGTCAGGCATCGACGGCTGTCACTGCAGCACGTGCCCGGAGGAATGTCTCCGTCTCCCAGCTCTGAAAACCTTCTTTCCAGACTCTCCTTGGGAGGTCACGGTCGACGTGGGGAAGTGCTCTGACCCAACCTACAGCGCAGGTATGGGAATGGTGGAGAGCTCCAGGGACATGGGGACGGGCACCCAGCTCAGAGCGTGACCTAACACCGCTCCGGTCCGCTGCGCAAACCCTCTTTGCCTTAGGTGGGAGTGGGATTGTATTTTGCACTCTTGGGGTTTGGGTTTGCTTTCTTCTTCTGTTGCTGGGCCTTTACAGCACAGGTCTGCAGGCAAAATGGTAACTCTGCCCCGGTGCACGGTGTGAGGATGGAAATGCAACCACCACCTCGTCTTACGGGGAAGCGGCCTCTTCCAGAGATCATAGAATCAGAGTAACCCAAGGTGGGAGGGACCGTGGGGGTCTCTGCTCCAACCCCCCGCCCCAAAAGCGAGAAAACCAACCTGATGATAAAAGCTCTGCTGAAAACAGAGCACTTGGCAACGACTGAAAAAACGGAGTTTCCTTTCCGACGGTCTGGGATGCCCTTTCGTCGCAGCACCAGCGAACTGCACTGACGCTTCAAAAATCACTCAGAAATGGAAACTCCAAACTAAATCGTTCCAGACAGGTCAAAACCTTCCATGGGGATAAAGCTGAACTGGTTTGTCCTGAACTGGTGTGCTCTCTTGTGAGCTCACACATAAAATAACCCGAGAGTCACGTTGGTGAGGATGAACCGATCGCTCTTTATCAGAACGGAAGGTTGTGTTGAAATGATTTTCCACGACTGCTTGATAAAAATCAGTCCTCCTGGAATTTGTTGGCGTCATTTTCCTGGCATTTCTGCATCTAAAACCATCCCTTAAAGCCCTCCCGGCAGGTCCCGTGGCACAGCCGTACAGCAGCTGCTAGAGAGGGACAGAGACCCATGCGAGGCCGAACGTGACCTTGAGAAGCAGCGAAGGGGCCTGAGCTGGAGGGGCTGGGGAAGCCAGGGGGGCGGCAGAGAAACCAAAACCCCAAGGGGCTCTGCTTGGGGATGTGCACCCCCTCCCCGAGGCATCAGGCTCCTTGTGTCATCCGGCTGCAAGACACAGCAAGTGGAAAAGAAAATTAGGCAGCGTGAAGTGCTTCTTCCCAGAGGTGGGAGAATCTGCGTTTGCTTCCCAGACGTGTGACTGGAAGGTGCTGGGCGATGCCGTTGTCCCCGGGGTGGCTTGTGGAGGGTGGCTCATTCAGTGATAATGGCCCAGGGCTGGGAAATGTGGACTCGCCCCCAGCTTTGCCTCTGCCCTCGGGCAGGTCTCCGCACTTTCCTTCTGGATTTTCCCCTGTAAAGCCAGGCTGACACTTTCAGTGTCCTGTTAAAGACTGGAAACGTCAGAGGAGCGGGGAGGCCTGGGGAAGGATGTTGAAGTTTCACCCAGAAATATTGGCTTCCAGAAATCCGTCGTCAGTTTGTGTCCCCCCCCTCTTAAGGCATCTCAGAGAGATTTGCATTGGGAAAACGCTTTTCCCTCCCCTGAAAACACAGCCCCCACCCTGGAACAAAGACATCTCCAGCGGCTGATAAAGGAGCTGGGAGGGGGGCAGGAAACTCTCCCATTCTAAAGCCAGGAACCAAACGCAACCCCTGCACCCCAGGGCTGGGACAGGGCCGGGCTGGGTCCTGTTCAGAGCCAAAACCCGAGACTGACTTAGCCACCGCCTCAGCCATCCTTCTGCCCCCTCTAGCTCCCGCAACAGCGATTTTGATTCAAATTTACGTGGGGAGGGAGAGCAAAGCTGGGAGATACCAGATAAACTGTTTGTTTCTATGCAGAGCGTGCTCCCCAGCTGAGCCAGGCAGGACGCTCCGTGCCCGTCTCCTTCCAACTGGAGGCGAGTTTCTGCTGGAGGAGCCCCTGTCTCCCCTCTCCAGTGGGGACCTGCCCCCGAGGCAGCGCGTCCCGGCCTGGAGGTGACACGGCAGCCAAGACGCGGGCTTTCGGCACGTCCACCCAGAGCCCCCCTTCGCCCCGCTCCCTGCACGGCTCCCTTCACGCGCAGACTGGGAGTGCCAAAGCCGAACAGCACTTTTGGTTTTTTACCCTGGGAATTTTTCATTCAGTTGAAGCTTGA